ACTGGATGTTTTTTCTTTTTCGGACCATTCTCTGTAAACCCTAGAGATGGTTGTTCGTGAAAGTCCCAGTAGATCAGCAGTTTCTGAAATACTCAGACCAGCCCTTCTGGCACCAACAATCATGCACGTTCAAAGTCACTCAAATCACCTTTCTTCCCCATACGGATGCGCGGTTTGAACTGCAGGAGATTGTCTTGACCATGTCTACATGCCTATATGCACTGAGTTGCCGCCATGTGATTGGCTGCTTAGAGATTAAGTGTTAACGAGCAGTTGGACAGGTGTACCTAATAAAGTGGCTGGTGAGTGTATGCGTCTATTTGTCTTTTTTTTTTATTTTTTTTTTATAGAAAATATGGACGTTGTGATTGTTCATTTTCCTGTTGGAACACTGTAGATTGACCCTGAGGTTCTGGTGCCTATCACCTTTCAGCCACCCCTCAGTGTACATTGATTATTGCATGGTCACCATTATTAACATTTTCCAGCTAGACCTCTGATATCTTCCCCTGTTTCTATCTCGCTGTCCATTTCCTGTTGGCTCACAGGACAGCCAGTAATGCTATAAAGAAAATCGTATTTTCAACAGTTAGTCTTGGTGGTGTGATGTTCTGGGTTTTTGCTGCTTCAGCGGCTTGAAAACTTGTTCGGAAAGATGGATCCAAACTTTTTCCAGAAAACCCTGAAGGACCGTTTCTAACCATCAGTTTGAAACCCATGGGCGTAGGTTTGCATAGGGACCGTAGGGACATGTCCCTACCAAAATTTTGGACCGACCTACCAGAAATTAGATGTGAATAATATGTTTATAATTTACAATACAGCATTGTTGCAGCAGTAGAGGAGTTCTGGATGGAGAAAATTGACAGACCAAAACACGTTTTCTCTAAAATGGAAAACGTTTATCAATTTTTTTTTACAATTTTGGTATAATTCCTGCTCTAAGTGGGTCGCTCTGTGAGCTAAAGACATGTTTTACAGTCTCTGTACTCCGGTTAACGATTAATCGATTACTACATTTGTTGACATTATTTCAATAATCAATTAATCTGATGAATTGTTTCATCCCTAAATAAAATACATGAAATGGGTTAAACAGAGTAACTACAGCCTAGATGTA